GATTGCGGGTAATGTTTTCCTTATGTTTTGTTTTCAGAAATTTCTATAATGAAACTGTATTTCCATGTAAATTAGAAAAAAATGAGAGCTTAACATTTAAGAAAGGATTAATTAAAATAATTGCTGCCTTGTTAGATGGATGAAAACTCTATCTTAAAAGTCCTGAGCAGATTAAAAAATAAAAAGGAAACAATAAGCAAAAAATTACTCTCTTGTTTAAGCTGAGGTTAAAATTTATTTTCTGTGGCTTTGCCCTCAGTGGGTGCAATAGCTACTGATCACATTAGAGAGGCATAGAATTTTAAATCAGGAGGGCCTTAGACATCATTTACCCTAACTTTAGAGCATTCGTCTTCATTTGAAGTTTTTAAAAATACAAACATACGTATATCCACACATTCATGCACACTTACCTGTTTAATGTCTGTCTTCCCAGTGGACACAAGGGCAGTGCCCGCTACACTGTAGACGTACAGTGGGTACCTACTCTAGCAATGCAATGCTTGATCGTTGACAGTTAAATCACAAGGGAAGGGACCATAGCTAATAATCTCCAGACTAACTGTGAAGCCTTCCAGTCCCCCAGCTGACTGGCCCTCACCGAGATGGTCGTGGCTGCGTGGGACGTCATTCTGCTGCTTCTGCACTTCTCACTGGAGATTCTAGAGCTCTCTTAGCCCCATTGGCTTACTTGCCTCTTGAAGACCTTTCTTTCACTCCTATCCCTTGCAGGAAACAAGAAAATGTGAAGGTCCTGCTATTTTCTATGGCCTGCTTTGGAAAGAGGGCACAGATCTTCTGCTCTTAGGTTACCCTACCTATCTTGGAATTCTGTTCCTACTTCCCTCTCTGGACCCGGCCTAGGGGACAGGAACTATTTCCAAGGGCCCAGTGGTATCTAATTTTCTTGCCTCCCCTTCATCTGGTCGAGAGGGTCTCTTTCTCACTGGGGGCAGGGAGGACACTCACCCACTACCCAGATGTTCCTCCAGATCTCTTCTCTTTGGCCTTGGACTCTCCTTTGGAAAATCAAAAGCCAGGGATTTGACTCATGTTCTCTATAGTTTATGATGCCATTTTTTTCCTGAGGCAGCATATGCTGCTGGTTCAGTGGGGAAAATGTGAAATGATACAAGGAAATTTGTGAAAAAGCAACCTTTGATTAACATCTCAAAAATATCACCTGGAGCCAGCCCTGATGGCCTAGCAGTTAAAGTTTGACGAGCTCCCCTTCAGTGGCCCAAGCCTGCTTGCCATGCATAGAACCACACCACTCACCTGTCAGTAGCCATGCTGTGGAGCAGCTCACATAGAAGAACTAGAAGGACCTACAACTAGAGTCTACAACTGTGTACTGGGGCTTTGGGGAGAGAAAAAAACAAAAGAGAGAGAGAGAGGAAGATTGGCAACAGATGTTAGCTCAGGGCAAATCTTTCCCAGTAAAAAAAATAAAAATCATCTGCCCTATTTGTATGAAAGGTGGGCCAATTTTGAGGGAATGAAATTAGCTATAGTAGTCTCAAATTTCCAAAGTCACGTTCCAAAGTTTCTCAGTTCACTAGTGATTCTAGAAAGACTGAAGAATGCCACTTAGGCAACAGAACAGAAAGTTTGCAAAATGAGTGAGTCTGCAGGAATGCTTGTTTTTGCTTCTGTCACAAAGTTTCTCCCAAATGGTTGAAGTTCTGATAAAATAAATGTCTGTCATGTTATTTAGGAGTGGGTGACAAGCTGAGAGTCACTGAGCAGGTGACAAGCTGTCCTTGACTTGGTAAGTTTCCATGCTGTGTCTTTGGCTGATATGGATCTCATATTAAGTGATATGCAATGAGAGTTTCCTGTCAGTTCAGTGACACGATTTTAGGTAAGGAAGGTAGAAAGTCTCTGTGTCAGCTAGAGATGATTATATTAGATATCACGGATCTTAATAGCCCTACCTTCGTCTGCTAAGCTGTGGGCAAATGAGATTTTATGCTTTATCATCAGGCTGCCACATGAGGCTCAGGTAACTATATGTAAAATCTCACGCTCCGTTGCATAATATTTGTTTGCAAGGAAAAGTAAGTATCTTAAATCTTTTTATAGCATTTGTTCCTTCACAGCAAGAGAATATTTCAAGTTTGTGTAAAGCTTTATATTGTCATGTTTAACCACTGTGACTTTACAGCTGCACGTTAGCTGGGGCACAGTAAATGACTGGGGAAGCACTATGAAGATGTCATTGAGCTCTGCCTGCTGCTTTGTAATCTTCAGAAGTTACAGGAAAGCATAGCTGCCTATGTCATTTCATGTCCTTTTAGTATTCTAACAGTCTGAGATGCCACTCTTAATAACATGAGGTCATTTTTAACCGAATTCTTGATAGATCAGTCTTTCTATAGAATAGGCAAGCATTTCTCTAGAATCTACTTCATTATCGAGTAGTAGCCTAATAAAGTGTTTATTGCCTAACAAAACCAATGTGAAAGCACCATTAGGGCAAGGGAAGCAAATATTCCAACTTTCTAAATTGCAGTCATTGTTAAAGATGCCTGGAAATGCCGAGTGGAGCTCGTGAGGCTCCTGGTGCAGAGCTGTGCTTTCAATGCAATTGGCCTGCTCTTTGTGGAAACAGTCAGGTGGGCTGTGGTTGTCTTTTGGGAACAGGATGAATTCAGAATGGGGAGACCATGAAGAACATTTAAGATGAATAAAATGTTATGGGACTCAAATTTTAGGAAAACTGATTTCCCGATAATGGTCATCTTGAAACAGAAGGTTCTCCTTATGAGATTTTGGAGAATGGAAATGTAACACAGCTTTTATAGGTCAGGAAAAAAAGCCAAATCTTAGCCAACACCTGAGTAAGGTAAGGACACTTTCTAAGTTTTCCTACGTAGGATCTCAGCTTCTAGGACAGATTGTCTAATTTACAATTTTTATGAAATTTTTACCACTGAGAAATGGAATGGGTGAAAACTGGACAGTACCATGCTGACTCCAATATCACAGCTTCTAGGCCTGCATCTGAAAGAAGAAACAAGTTCTATCTCTGGTATTGCCTGAGGAAATTACTTTTCTTCCACAGTGAAACAACTAGAGAGAAAGCCTTGTTTGAATCAATGAAAAGTTTATAGTATAATCACATTTTGAAGAATGGTAGGACCCCTCCTATCCAATGGGATTGGGGCTGGTACTTGGTTACATAGAGGAGACAATTGTAAAATGAAATGACATAACTAAAATATTTACATTAATTTAAAACATATCATTGTACATTTCTCTGATTTTTTTGATGTGCAGCCAACATCTAACATCCTCTGATTAGAGGTCTCTTCGTCTCTTTTGCATAAACTACACCTGAAATATGTTGATTAAGTTTCCCAGGTTTACCTTCTTTAAAGAGGAATGAGAATTTAGCAATCTCAATTCAGAATACTAGATTTTTACATTTTTTAACCAACATTTTAGAACAGTCTTGTCAATTACTTAACATTTTTTTTTGCAACTTGTCATTATCAAGTTTTTTGATAAGCATTTGACTTGGTTTTCCTAAAAAAGATAACTTTCGCACTCATCCTTCATCAGTTTGTCATATTTGAGTCACAAACTTACAATAATGAGCACAACTGGCATAAACACATTTGGGAATAAACTCAATGACTTGGGTAAGCACACATCTCAGCTGGAAGGGCAGAAGTTCATGGGCGTGCCAGAGAGCATCCACTGGCCACAGGCACTCCCTATGGCAAAGGCAGCCCTCAGCATCTGTTAGAAAAGACTGGAGGACGCTGCTTAATCTATGAGTTGGTTAAAGGGCTTTTAATTAAGAGAGTTTCTACTATAAATACATTTTCATTAATATGCATAGGTAGTAACACTTAAAGAGCATTTTTGCAAAATGTTTTCTGGTATGAGTCCTGTAGAACTTGCCTTAATGAACAGCTAAAGCTCGCTTATAATCAGCAGAATCTGTCTGCACACATAATTGGTGCTCGAAAGTGCTTCTCCCTGGCAATCTAGTTTACAGTGTGGTACTATAATTGGTTTGTTCATCAGACCATTTTTTTCTTAGATGGGAAGAGATAATGTTTTGGTCCACTCCTCATTAAGTTGTCACAATTTTTAAATTAATAATTTGGGCGATTTAATGAGCTCTTGTGCTATTTATACACGCTCAAGATCCTAAATATCTCCGTCAATGTTTTTAGATTTTTTTCTTCTTCTAAATACTGGGAGCAATAAAGAATGATATGCCAAAGATAGTTTTAAAAAGAAAATAAATAGATATTGATCTTATTGCTATTAAGTTAATAGATTTGGAAAATTTTAGAGCTGAGAGACAGAAGTATGTGTGTATATGTGTGTTTAAATACACACACAGAGGCAGAGAGAGACACAGAGGCAGAGAGAGAGTAAGAGAGGGAAAGAGATAGATAATCAAAGACAGAATAAGACAGAACAGAGAGACAGAGTGACGGTGACATATTTTATATTTATATTATATTCACACACATATATGTGTATCTATATAAAAAGAGACAGAGACAGAGAAACAGAGAGACACTAAGATAGGAATAGAGAGAGAAATAGAAAAGCAGACAGGAACAGAGGAAAATAGATAAGAAGAAAGAGAAAACACACAGAGACAGAAAAAGACAGAAACAGAGACACCATGCAAGAGGCAAAGAGAAATGGAGACATCTAGAGAGACATCTGAGGTGGCAGAGGAAGAGCCACCACAGAGATGTTGCTCAAGATTAGCTCCATCTCTGTCCTGTTTGACCAAAACTGTAGCCACAGGTACGGAGGTCAGAGGCCGTGGGGAAGCCGTATCACTGTCCAGGACGGAGAGGCAAGCCGAGGGACCAGCAGGGGACACAGTGTCATAAGAGGCAATACCAGGCCTATGGGTAGGTTGCAGCCTGGCTATCAATTAGATGGTCCTGCACCACTTATTCACATTTATCAAATGTGTTTTTTAGCTCTAAATGTATTTAAAAGATTTTTTTTGGCTGCAGAAAGGTCCTGAAGGAAATCTCTGTTGGAGGACTCAATCCAAATGAGACTGTGCAGGCCAATTTGGAGGCCCAGCTCCTTTCCAAGCTGGACCACCCAGCCATTGTCAAGTTCCATGCAAGTTTTGTGGAGCAAGATAATTTGTGCATTATCACGGAGTACTGTGAGGTGAGACTCTTCTTCTCTTTTCGAAATCTTAATAAAAATCTGTTTCAAACTAAAAAGCTGTCTGTAAAGAGACATCTCAAAAGTTCAATTATCAAACCACCAACTGAACTGTAAAGACCTGGGATCTCATGTCTCGCAGCTAAAAATGATCATCTATAAGTAATTGACAAATGTGTTTCTAATGAAGGGTTTCTCTCCTTTGGAAAACTCAGAAGGAATATGTTTTAAGGAAGAATATCTGCAGAAGAATGCATCAATATTTTTTGTGGGAAAGCATCCCCCAAACCTCCTACAGTGGCCCAATGGTTAGATGGACATTTAATGCTATAACAGAGGCCTGGACAGAGCAGAGGCACAGCTCCTGAGTTCTGGGTTCTAGCTCTGTGGCTCATTTTCCCAAATGGAAATTTGGAAATGGAAATATAGCTCATTTTCCCCATGGAAATCCTTCATATTTATTGGTTTGTGATTTATGGCTTCAGGTATTTACAATTTTCCCTGCCACTCCATGTTCTCTCCAAGGGATAATAGCTGTGCATTTTACTGAGTCCCAAGTGAATATGAAGCTCCTTAGGAAGGTGCCAGAGCGTGAAATTGACAAGGTGCAGCTGTAACATGGATCTGTGGGTTCACTCCTGAGAGGCTAGGTGGGGGCTGGGGGTCACAAGAGTTGGGTCAGCAAGACGATACCCAAAGATGACCTTGCTCAGAAATTGTCTCCCAGAATATTCTGGGAGCTAGCATTAGCCAAATGCACCTTGGGAGAATTTAGTTCTATTTACACTTTAGAGTGTATTTAGTTCATTACCTGGGTGTTGCTGAGGCCCAAAGAAATGATGCTGGGAGAAAGATGATGCTCTTTAGAGTGGAAAGCAGGCCTGATTGGGTCAGAAACTTTGGGCAACCAGAGGGTGCCATGTGTTTGAGACGAAGAAAAGAAGAGGCAGGAGAAGCAGCTCGGAAGGAGTAGGGATAGCCACCTGGTCTGCTTTACACACGAGCTGGTGTATCATGAAAATGAAATCAATAGCCAGGTTAAAATATCTGAAAGTTTGAAATAGTCTAAGTCTCAGCTATTCCCCTTCAGGGCAGCCTCCCCAGCTTAGCCTTGCTGGGTGTTTCCCCATCCAGATTTCATGCCTCTTCTGCTTGGAGGAAAGCAAGGAAAAAAAAAAAGAACCAGGACGTTTGGATGTTTACTTCTCCTTCATCCAATGGATTGTTAAGAAAATCAAGAAAATGATGTGTTCAGAGTGGTCTTAGTGAACAGCCACTCTGGCAATTATGTCAGTAACCCACGCAGAACTACAGGTTTTACATATGCAGCTACACTATGACCCATATGATTTAATCGTTTTTCTTCCTTTAGCCCCTTTCAGTTAGTAAACTATCTTATGTGGAAAACCACTGACTCCGACTGCTTTGTGACTGTCACTTCTACTGCTGCTTGTGGCACACTGAGTTTTCCAAAGACTCTTTCCTGATCTTAAAATATTTTTCTCTATAGTCAGTACAGTCCGATGGAACTTTCTGTGATGATGGAAATGTTCTATATTTGTTGTGTCCAATACAGTAGTCACTAGTCATACATACAGGACACTTTTGCACTTGATGAAGGATGGCCAGTGTGACTGAGGAGTTGGATGTTAAATTTTATTTAATTTTAATTAATATAAATTTAAATAAGCACATGTAGCCAATGGCTACCATATTAGACAGTTCTACATGATAAGCTATAATTTTCTCTTCCTGCATTAATTAAAAAAAATTTTAATTCTAATGTAATTTTAATCTACCGGAAAAATTACAAGAATAACACAATGAACTCCTATATATATATTTCATCTAGATTTGCCAATTGGTATCATTTTTCCACATTTGCTGTATCATTCTATTTATTCATCTTATCTATCTGTCTATATTTTGTCCTGAACTATTTGAGAGTGAGTTGCAGACACGATGCCCCTTTGTCCTAAATACTACTGTGAGTATGTTCCAAGGCCAAGGACATTTTCTTACATAACTACAGTACCATGATCAAAATCAGGAAATTAGCATGGATACAATGCTAGTATGTAATCCAGCGGTTCTCAAAGTTTGATCCCAGACCAGCCAGCATCAGCCTCACTTGGGAACTTGTAGAAACATAGACTCTCAGCCTCCACCCCAGCCATGCTGAATCAGAAAGTCTAGGGGTGGGGTCGGCAATGTGTGTTTTGACAAGCCCTCCAGGTGAGTCTGAAGCACTCTGGAGTTTGAGAACCACCCATCTAATCCACAATCCATATTCAAGTTTAGCCCATTTGTCCCAATTATGTCTTTAGAAAGAACATTTCTATAAGAATGTTTTTTCTCGAGCAGGATCCAATCCAGGATCATCTGCGTTAATTTTTAAATGCTGGTGGTTTCCACCGGCCGAGCTGCTCTCCCGGGAGGGGCGTTGCCATGGTGACGGCCGCCGCAGTGCCGGAGGAACAGCTGCGGGGCTTCCAGGGCTCCGCGCTGCTGAGCCGTCAAGCTGCCACTTCCTGACTCCAGATGAATGACGTGTGCGGATCGCTCGGTTCTTGTTGTTAACAGATATTTCTCATCTTCAGACCCAAATTTGCTGTTAACTCCCACAAGCCTGCCATTATCCTCTTTTTATCGAGGTAAAATAATGCTGGAAATGGCAGATGGCCAAACTTGCATCTCATAGGAAGATGCTATTCACAGTTGAAATAGCTGGTCGTTTTGCCTCCAAGTTTCCTCTTCCGTAATTTAATTTGGGGCCTTGCAAGATTGAAATGTATATAAACGCATTGGTGAGACCCCTATATCCACCACCCAATCCTTTGGACACATCACGTCAGATTATGAGTGTAAAAGCAAATAACCGAACTCTCATGAACTTCTTGTCAACATCTAAGGAAATCTTTGATGGGGAATAGTTCCTAAACCACCAAAGTGACAGAATAGGTATTTCAAATATCGGTGTCTTCTATTCTCCTCCACCCAGGGGAAATGGATCTACTTTCCGTTTCCTGTCCATCCTCCACTGTTTCACACCTTTTCATCTGTGCTTGGGCCATTCCCTTTCCTAATGTCCTTCCTCCTAGCCCATCTTCAAATCCTACCCATCCTCCCAGGCCCACCTGAAATGCTGCCTACTCCTCAAAGACTCTCATAATTTCCTTGCCAGAAATCACTCCCCACCCATTCGCTCTGTCTCATAGCATTTTATCTCGGGTGGCACTCAGCACATTATACACCATATAAACCATCTCTGATTCTCAACATGTGGGATTGATCTTTTTCTGATTCTTTTTTTTTTTTTTGATGAGGAAGATTGTCCCTGAACTAACATCTGTGCCCATCTTCCTCTATTTTGTACATGGGACACTGCCACAGCATGGCTTGATGAGCAAAAGGTAGGTCCATGCCCAGGATCCAAACCCACGAATCCCACGGCACTGAAGTCAGATGCACGACATTAACCACCATGCTACTAGCCGGTCCCGATTCATTTTTGTGTCACATCATGGCCCCACCTAGTGAGCCACAAAGGAGTTAGTACTCAAGAAATTTCTTTTTTTCTTTATGGATTCTCTACCACTTGCTTTCAGCTGCCTCCCACCTCATTTCTGTCAAATGCTGATGGTAAAAGATAAAATATTAGATCCTTCTACCTGTCACATATGTCAAAAGCATTTTGTCATACTTAATCTTGCTGGTACACCTAACAATGGACTGTGCTAGAGACCTGTGAGATACCGCCGGAAGGTTTTCCATTTGAGTAAGGGTAAGGCATCCCCAGAAACCTGGGCATTCAGGTAATAGACACAATAGAGAATAGATGAGATTCCACATCTTCAGGAGAGAGAGAACATGTGGCTGTCTATCAGGGAAAAAAGCGGGAAAGGCTGACCTTGTTTATTTCCTGCACGGTGATATTAACATAGCTAAACAAAAAGTATACCAATCTGATGGTGGTGCTCAACCTTGGCTGCACGTGAGAATCACCCAGAGAGCTTTCAGAAATCCTGGGACCCGAGACCCTCCTCCAGAAAGTCTCATTTAAAGCTCTCCAGGTGTTCTCATTTGCAGCCAGTGCTGAGAATTGCAAAGAAGGGAAAATGGTAAGTGTGAAAACAGAAAGATAGAGTCATAAAGGAAACATTTACCAGTGTTTATGGAGCACTGAGCAAAGATGAGGCCCAGACCTGAGAACAGGGAAGTCTGGCCCTGGTGGTGGCTGTGGTTTTCTACTCAGGCCACCTAGCTTGGTGCTATTATTCGTGAAAATTATCCAACTTGTTCTCCTTGCTCCCTGAGAAACCTTCTATCCTGTTTCTCCCCAAACTTTCCCCACTGACTTGAAGCATCTTTCAGTGGTAGTTGCCTGGAGAAATTTCTCCTGTGATGTATCCTTCATGGGGATTATGTATTTCCCTCATTCTTTCTACTTTTGCTGATTGGGTTTCTCCTGAAAGGAAGAGCTGTTCCACTATTCTTTTTCTTCCATTTATGTACTTATTCAATTATTTATTTATATCAGTATGGGCTCATGGATATTTATTATATTCTACAGGTTATAACCCAATACTGTCAATATTAATTTTGTCTCTCAAATTTTTCCAGCTTCAGCTACTGGGGCTCCTTCAGGTTGGCTCCTGTGTCCTCTCAACATGCCCTCATCCTTTTTCAAGAAGTGGATTCTTGGGGCCGGCCCGGTGGTGCAGTGGTTAAGTGCACACATTCTGCTTTGGCAGCCAGGGGTTTGCAGGTTCGGATCCTGGGTGTGGACATGGCATGGCTTGGCAAGCCATGCTGTGGTAGGCGTCCCACATATAAAGTAGAGAAAGATGGGCATGGCTGTTAGCTCAGGGCCAGTCTTCCTCATCAAAAAAAAAAAAAAAAAAAAAGGAGGAGGATTGGCAGCAGATGTTATCTCAGGGCTAATCTTCCTAGAAAAAAAAGAAGAAGTGGATTCTTATTTACTAATTATATTTTATAGGTGA